GGTTTAAGTGAGGTTATAGATCCCTCTCTAGATGGTGCATTAAAAAATTGAACAAGTTGCGTTATGTAAAAATGGACAAATTTTTATTCTAAAACTGTAAAACTGTCACCATTACATTAAAAACTACAATTATATGTTTAATTTCTTTATTTTGTCTTTTTTCTAACAACATAAAATATTCATGGTATTTTCAAAGAAATTTTTTTTGTATGTATTTTATAGTTATTTGATTCAAAAATAAACATATTAAATTTAAGAAACACTATGCAAATTATCTCAGTTTGAGAGGAAGGTGTTATTTTTAAGATTGGGGTAGATGGTCAGTGTAACCCACACTGATTAACCTACAACTACTAATGTCGGCAAGTTGCTAATTGTTTCATTGTCTTGTAAATGAAAACTCTTTTCTTGGCTTTAAGTCAGTCAAATTACAATGTTATTATTTTATTGTACTTGGAAGAATGTTTTCTTTAACATTTAATTAACAACTAGTTCTGTTAGATCTGGTTAATTTTATATTTTTGTTGCAGTTTAACCAGCATGCCAGTAACCTTGGGGTAACAGGATATACTAATATGCTAGTCTCCTGTTTTTATGTGGAATGTTGGTCATTCTACAAAAATATGGTATGAGTAATGAACTTGCATTTTTTACTCATACTTTTAATAATACACCTTGTAATAGCATCTAAATTCAGGCATTTAGGCTTATGCCTTTCTTTTGCTTATTTATAAGATTTTTATCAGTGGAGATAGATATGGTTGGCTCTTTCTGTATTCTTATTGGAAAGTTACTTTGATGTGATATAATAATAAGCACTTGGTCCTAGTTAGCTTGTGCATTTTTATCAAGACTTTTTTCTGCTAATGCTGTCTTCTTCTTCTTCTTCTTCTTCTTTTTTTTTTTGTACCATCTTTGAGAATCTCCTTCAGTCTTTCTTTTAAAGATTTTATAATACTATCTATCAATTGTTTTCATTCCATTGTGATTTGTTACATCATGGAGATTAAATAAACCTGTCTGCCTATTGCTTTTTACTGGTACCTTAGTTAAAAATGGAAAGCTTTCTAGCTGTTACAACTTTGACTTTTATTTTATTATTAAGAGCAGTGATTTTAAACCAGTGTGCCATAAGTGGATCATAGGTGTGCTGCAAAAATTTTTGAAGGTTATTAATTAATTAAACAAATTATTTTCAAAAGAAGCCCAAAGAACAATAAGTGTACACCTCAAAATTAAAACCTCTTTAAATTGATTATACAAGTTTTTCATTTTTATAATGAATAAATGTATACATAATGTAGTAGAAAATATATATTGATAAGTAAAATTTTATGCGCATAACACTGGGTTAATTCATTTAAAATGAAATTATCTTTTAAATGAATCAAAAATGTATCTATAATTGTCCATATTTAGTTCAAATTAATTTAACTTAGAAATAACAGGATGTTGAGCAGCTTTATAATGGCAATTATCATGCCGTTTTTAAATGCAAATTAAGACTTAATGTTAATTGCTTTTCTTAAGTAAATGAAAATTGTTAATTTAAATAGCTATTGTTGTAACCTGCTGCTATTTTAAGAAAGAACAATATTGTTTTACTTAATTCACAAAAATAAACAAAAAGTTAGATTAAGTGGCATGATAGAATGTTTACAAACACAACTTTAAATCACGTCATTTATTCCAAGGAAATTTTTTTGCGGAACTTTAATTATGGTTTTTAGTGTGCTCTGAGATAAAAAAGGTTGAAAAACACTGGTCTAAAGGCATATAGTCTCTTAACTTTTATATATGAATGCTGTTGCAGAATGATAGTTTTGTAGCTGATATAACTAACTTTTTATATTTTTTTTACTAAATTGATAAGGGGCAATATATAAGGAGACTTGAGCTGTTTGTTTTACCCTATCTTACTCCATCTTCAGGATGTTTTTCTAATGAAAAGTTTAGTGCTCTGTCCATTAAACTTTTAACAATGTAATGTTGCATGGAAAGAGAGCATTTGATGTTGCATTTATGTAATAGGGAACTGCTGTTGGTTTAACATATACTAATGTATTAATCTGCCTTTCAAGTGCATACTGACATCAAGGATGTGCTTGTAACTTGAATGAATTTGGTCTAATTCTAGTATATGATCTACTGAATTGAGATTTGAATCCTTTCATATATTTTTTAAAACTTTTTCACTTTGCCAAAGGATTTAAATGTTATCAACATATTGGTACGCCATTATAATGTTTGTGTTCGGTAAAGACAGTAGTTTCTACAAAGGCAAGGCAAATTTCTTTTAGATATCTTGTAAATGAGGAGACTTTGGGATCATCTCAGGAGTGTTGGTGGTAGTGTCCTTCAAACTTAAAATAGGAAGAATATATGATTGTACAAAGAAATTTGGAGGTAACATGATTTCAATGTTTGCTTTCTATCTTATTATAAAGGAAGTTTTGTATCAAGCTGTATATTGCTTCAAGTTTGAGAGAGGGATCTCTAAGGGCTAGTACACATTAAGCATTGGGCTTGTGTTAAATGCGCATTAGCAACATACACACTGCGCATTTAGCTCAGTGTTCAATGATCATTAATAGGGTGTGCGCACTGGTTCAGTTTGGAAATGGACGTGGAAGTGATTGCTTGTGTGTGGCTCCTCTATCGTCGCTATAAAAGACAATGACAGAGGCAAAGAGAATTTTGGGTGCACCCAATATTACGAGATGGACTGATGCATGGAATGTTTGTGACATTGTATCTAAAACTAAGACAATATGAACCTAACTTTTTAAATTATTTTAGAATGTCTATAAAATCATTTGATGATGGCTGGTCTCTTTTGGATTTCATCAATAAATAAATCAGTATTGAAATGATCGTTCTCCATTTTGGCCAACATGCATCCACTGTACCTGAAAGCACATGATCGATTGTATAACAAAATGGCGGCGCATGTATCTCAAAGTGTGCAGCTTATGCCCACACAATGCGCATTCTAACCAAAATCTGTCAATGTCTGTTTGCATGTGTATACCTATGCAGACTTCTTGGTTCTTTAAAATGTGCATTACCAACGTGTGTGCTTCAAAACACCTAATGTGTACTATCTCTAAGAGGCTTTTTTACCATTACTATCATCTTGCAATGTTTTAAGTTTCTGTTATAGTTTTCCTCTACTAACTCTACTGAATTTTTTAAAACAGTTCTATTTTTTATATAATATTTTCTAATAAAGGTGCCTAAGGTTTTCTTAATATGATACATGAAAATGATTGGCCCTTGAGGCCCATTTGGTTTGTTTGTTTTTGAAAAACCAAATAAGCATGGTGGCAATTGTATTTCAGGTATAATGTAACATAGACTTTGAGAAGAGTCTATGTCACTGTCATTCTGAGAAGAGGGTTATCAGTAGTATTGGGAGTGAATGGGCATTGTGCCCCCTTCCACCCCATTTTTTATATGATGTTATTGCTCCAATTTTAAGCTTCTTGGTAACAAGTACTCCTTTTTTATCTTTATAACATCACAAAATGATTATGTTCTGTACCATGAACTAAAAACAAATATTAATTAAATACAACCCGGAAAGTATGTTTCATTCCTTAACCATATTCCAATTACCACATAAACCACATACCTACTGAACATGCTGTGCCAACACCCTCTATAAGAAACCTATAACTGATGTTTTGACCTATGATAATGATGGCACTAGAGAACAAACTTCTTTGTATTTTTGTGTGGGTTGTCAGGAAGTTTGTGGTTTTTTAGTTTATAGTACTTTAATCTGATCTTGTAAATTCTTGGCTTTTTAACTTTTGCTATATTATGTAAATTATTGTGGTCAGTTCTGATGCAAATTGACTACAAGGAGGAAAAAAACTCTAATTCCAGCAGTAGTCTTTAAATAAAGGTGTACTTTGAGGTGTGTACTTTGTCAACTATGGAACTTTTTTGTCATTTAAAATATTTTTATGATTTTCTGAAATTTTTAATATTATTAAGTTATTATTGTTAACTACATTAGCAAATAAAAAAGTCTCTGTAGTCACAAAACCCACAGTTTTTGGTGAAAATCAAATATCCTCCTCTTGTGTCTGTCAATGTTAAGAGATTGTTTTTGCAGTTCAAAGATTTACTTTTCTTATGTTGTCTTTGGCTGACCAGGGAGAATGTACAGGGTGATTCAAAAGTCATAGAAATTTTAAAAAATTAGTAACTCACAAACTATTTACAATAAGATGATGCAGTTTTCACAGAATTGCTTAGAAAGAAACAAAATTTTTTTCCATTATAAAAATTTTAGTACCAAAATAGTTACATTTTTTGTCATAGATGGCACTTGATAAGATTGCATAATTTGTGAAGTTGTTACTAGAGCTTACACTAAGAACATTTTTATGTTTTTATTTTTACTTTAACAAATTTACAAATAATTTCAGTTTTTTACAGTGCCATCTATGACAAGAAATGTAACTATTTTGGTACTAAAATTTTTCAAACACCTAAAATAATCCTGTTTCTTTCTAAGCATTTCTGTGAAAACTGCACTTATTGTTAATAGTTTGTGTGTTATTAATTTTAAAAAATTTTTGTGACTTTTGAATCACCCTGTAGAATGACTGTGTTCACAAGTGCAATGTTTTTCTGTTTGTAAACTATGAAACCGATGTATTGGATTCCAAAAATGACTAATTGATTTTAATTTATTATTTTTTTCAGTTTTGTATGTTTTATGTATAATTTTATGTGCAAAAAAATACAATTTTACTGTTAGATATTTTTAGAACCATTTTTAGCACTTTTTTAAAAAAAACTATCACTTTTTTAACCCCTTGTTAAAGAAAATTTGCATTTCAACTTCCCAAGGTTACTCATGATAAATTACTCTGGTTTTATTGCTAAAATATCTTGTTTTATGAACTATTTTATATCAATGTGAAATGTAATATATTTTATATTGATAAAAATAATAAAATAATAATTTTTTAAAAATTTTATAGTTCCACAGAAGAATTTTTATTATCTGCTGGTAACAGAATGACTCGTAAACAACTTCGCAATTGTTTAAAGGATGTTAAAGCTTTACATGCAGAATTCTGGGTATGATTAATTTTCTTACTATTTTATTTAAATTATTTATTTAAAAATAAAAATGAACAGTTTAATTTCAATTATGGTAAATGATAACATGGTAAATTTCAAACTAATGAAAATTTCCTGAATTAATAAATTTAACTTACTAATATCTTAAAGATTACTAATTTAAAATCCAGAAATTTAATCTTTGAGATATTAATAACCAAATTGACGGATGGAAAAATTCAGCAATACAGATGTTAATAAGTTAAATTTATTAATTCAGGGAATTTTCATTAGTTTGAAATTCAAGGGATAAAATAATCGCAACTTTGAATTATTGAGTTTTCAATTATCTGAGATTTACATATTTCTCTACAATATGCCAAATTCCATGTAACTGATATAATTTATTAAGCAAACGGAATACAGCTGCATATACAGAACATTATTTTTGTTAATTAATAATTAATAATAATAATAATAATATAAATAAACTGCAGATAAACAACACGTGTGATGAGAACCTCACAGGTTGCCAGATAGGTTTTATTAAAAAGTAAAGCAGATGCCCAAATGTAGTCCAAATTATTTTAACTTGGCCAAAAAAGTAGTAAATCACCCAAATGTAGTAGCCCAGTCCTACAAATATCTGCTACAAATAATGCCAATCTTTCAATCTCAAAAATCAGCCATAGTTTATGAGATAAAAAAGGGTAGTCCATGTGTAAGATGACACCTGAAAATGTATTACTGTAAAAGCAAAGCAGATTAGAGTTGTACTTGGTCTGTTGTTCTCTTACGGCATGGAGGAATTTTGATCTAAATAAACAAGTTAACATACTCATATCATAGTTCAGTCAGAATTTCCACTTCAAATTTTGAAATAGCCATATTTTGAACTAAGTGAATTACTTAACAAGTATATCTCTACATCCCCAGCTGGGGCAAAAGTACAGTTATAAAAAAGAAATATTTACTAATGTCTTTGTGCATTTAAAATAGACATCATCATGCGCATAACACAGAACAAAATGACTACATGAAAATCGAATGTGTTATACAAAGAATTTACATGTTCAAATAAAATCATCAATGGAACAATGTATGGTTACAGTATAAAATTATATATGTTACTATACATTTTAAAATTATATCCTGAACAATATATATATTATTCAAAAATATTAAAGAATAATTTATAAAATGTGTTTAAATTGTTTCCCATAAACATTACGCACTAAGATTAAGATAAATGTTGTAATGACATAAATTAATTTCCAGACAATTATTATGACACAAATAACAGATTTTACATTAATCAAGATTTATATTAAATTGTATCCATGCGGTCTAGTAAGGAATATATGAGAGAGAGCCATTATAAGAGTTCAAAGTTACATTAATCAAGATTTATATTAAATCTGTTATTTGTGTCATAATAATTATCTGTAAATTAATTTATGTCATTACATGGATAACCATTGGATGATTATATCTAAAGTTTAAATGTGTCTGGAAGGGAGGAGTTGCTCAGAGATCCGGGTGGTATAACTGGTCAGCACACTACACAATAAGCAGAGGTTGCAGGTTCAACTCCCACTATGGGTTGATTCTTTACTTCCAGACTATTCTAAATTTAAAATTAAATTATAGTTACTACTTTAATTAAGAGATGGCACTTAATGTCTACCTCTAGTTGTTCTAATCATGCAAATTATAAATTAATATTTGTAGCATAATTTCTGCTTGATTAATTTGGCTGATAGTTGGTTGATTATTAATACATTGTGTTCTTGGGATGTTTATATATAAATTCTGCATGGTAATGCGAATTGGATATGGTTTTATTACAACACAAAATGTATTTGTATATACAATTTTTTAAATTATGGTAAAATATCTATCTATGGAACTCAAAGTATTCTTATGGAGATTGTATCCTCATATTAATATTGACATCTCCGAACTTGCTATGAGTACAGCAACAACCAAATAGTCAACTGCAATGTATATGGAATTGCTTTCGCTGTCTCCTTAGCATTTGGTGTCAAACCCAATACAATTTGATACATTCATAGATAAATGCATTTTTCATAGATTTTATTTAAAGTTGGAAAAATTAAACTGCCATTTGCTTTGAATTGTGAGAAGCTGGAGCAAAACGAGCTGTTCTTTAAAGTTAGAAAATTTTTCTAATTTTTATTTAATAATTAATGCAATTAAGCCATTTTTATGTGGGAGAAACAGCACAGACCACTCCACACATTTGTGAGAAACGGATACAAAGAGAAATAAAAACTTCTCTCCAGTTTATCTATTTCCCATGGGGAGATCGTATCTTGCCCGCTGATGAGACACCTGTAAGAACGTCTCATCCATTGATGAGACAGCTACTCATGCGACGCAACTTTTGCATTCTGTCACATAGGAAAGACTTACCTCCAATTGGAGAGGAGTTGGAGATAAAAAGGGCAGAAATCCCAGGCTTGGGGTGGACTATCCCCACATAAGCTCATGGACCAAGCTTCAGTCTGTCAACACTTTCATCTCCCAGCATTTCTCCTCTGAAAGCAACCTCCTTGAACAGACTAGATTCAGAGACATCCGTCAATCTATCAGAGGTATTATGTTTAACCCTTTGTAAACTTTCTCTTGGTTGATTAAAGGTATAAGTAGCTATAAGTATAAGTTTGTTGATAGAGGTTTAACACAAAGGAGATTAAAATATATCTATGTTATTCATTAAACTTTTGTTAATTGTTAACCTGGTCTTGAGTCAGATTTATTTTGATGACTTGTCACCCTGTCAACAAAGTCACGACTCTCTCCACTTGAATGTTAGATAGACTCTCCCACTCAAATGTGAATTGACTTATAGTTATAATTGCGGGTTAGGATGCAAATTTGAACTATCCTAACTGTGTCAGGAGAAAATAGACCCAAGATTTTCCGATCTTATGTCAAACTATGAAATCCACGGATTCTCACAGAATGATAATTTGAAATATATTTAAAGAATTATTTTCAAATTTATTTTTCTATTTTTTTCCCCAGGATGTAGAATTCATAGCAGCGGCATCTGCAGACTATTCCCCCCGCAATTAGTTTTGGGCTGAAATTACTAAGGCCCCTTCCCGCTCAAAGAGCACTAAGAGGCCAGACTGTGTAAGATGAGAAGTGTTAATGTCCCTGTGAGGGCTCGTAATGTTTAAACATTTCTCTTATGAGGGCTCTTACAATTACATGGTTTTTGTAGTCTGTACTTGAATTTTATTTTACTTTTGTTCCGAATGTTATTTAGTGTTTTTGTTGTTTTTGTATGTTAGTGTTAATTAGTACAGGTTAGTGAGGATCATTCAAGCTTGCTGAAGGGATAGCAGTTGGGCGTCCTAGTATGGCGGCATCCAGCAAAGGGGGATGAGGATTAAGCAATGCTGCAGGCAGGGAAAGGCCGCCTTGAAATTGCTAGTTGGAAGGATGATCAAAGTGTTGGATATTGTTTTGTATGGGTGGGGGGCAGATGCTGCAAGCAAAGTTCTGAAGGAAAGGCTCCTGCAGCACCGTGCCCCCCCGTGGGAAGCGCCCCAGAGGCGAGACTGGAGATACACTGGAAAAATGCTGGATGGAGCCAGAAGGGAAGTGGTGGAGTTTTTACAGATTGGGAGGACAGTTGTATAGATTGTTAGTACCTAACAAAGCTTAACCTAGATTCTGACTTGACCAAAGCCACTGAGGAAAAGAAAGTAGCAGTGGTAAAATCACAGATGGCCTAGTCCAACAAATTTGGAATATTTATAAAATTTGTTTTGACGGGGATAGTCTTGCAGCTCATGACTGCAAGACTATAGTGTGCCTACTGGGAGGACTTTGGAGGGGGAGCCTGGTCCCAATTTGGAGTAAAAATGTGAAGAAAACCCAGTAAAACTTCACATGCCAAGCTGGGCCCCGAGAGGTGGCCAGGGAGAGCCAAAATTTGGTTTTATTTAGTAACTTAGGTTAAAATAGGGTAAGAAGCTGTTGGACCAACCACCATGGAGAGCAAAGATTATAGGAAAAGATTGTAAAGGGATGAGAAGTAGGGTGGACAAAAGGGAAGAATGAAGATATAAAGTGGAATATGCAATTCCTGATTTACATAGTGTGGAAGGGATACTGAAAGTGAAATATGTTTAAATTTTTTGTATATAAATAATTAATAATGTCTAGAGAGGAACAATTTATGAATTATTAAGTTTAAGACTATTAAAAGGGGAGGCACAAGATAGATATATATATATATATGTTACTGTGAAAGACCGAAATTAGAGAATGTCTATATTCTCTGGTGAATGTCAACACATACAAAATACGTTGGTGAAAGTCCAAATATTTGGTTATGTTATTATACATTTGAACAATTGCCTATGTATGTCGACAAGCACAGATAAGTTTTGGTGGAGGTCGAAATGACACCCAAGAAGCCGATGTCGACAGAGGCGACAGTCTGTCGCAAAATGCTTTGTGGGTAGCCAGAGGTAGTACAAGGTTTTTTGATCCCGTGAGGTGGGAATCGGTTTGTCAGGTCGAGTGGCAGAAGATGAGAGGGGTCGTCGGTAAGGCGTCGGCGATATCTGAATAAAAGACACCATTAACAGATCAGTTCGTAATCACGTAATAACGTAATTAGTTCGTAATTTGTAAAAAAAGTTACTTTCCATAGATGAGATTTCTTCTCAAGAAATATCGCTGAGAGAAGCAGCTGCAGCTAATTTGAAAAGTGGAAAGCAAGGCTATATACACACTGTCATTGCAAAAAAAAAGTGTTCCACGAATAAATGCAGTTTTAAAAGCAAGGGACTCTTGTGCAATTCAAAGTGCCATAACAGTTTAAGTTGTTGCAATAAATAAGATTGTATAACGTTAATCACATAATTTATGTGTAAGTTTATTATTGTATTATTTTCTTTAATGGTTAAGAATGTACTGTTTGTTTTAGGTTCAACAGTTTATTTAATTGTGCTGTTACTTAATTAAGCTTTCTC